GCTGAACTCCTCAATGAGTTCTTTGCCTCAGTGTTCCTAAACAAGGGGCAAGACAAGTCTCACAATGGGATTGTAGAGAAGCAACAGCAGGGCGCCAGACTACCAAGCATTGACCCTGAGATGTTGCAGAGTCACTTGGAAGAACTGGATGCATTTAAGTCAGCAGGCCTGGATGAGCTCCATCTGAGGGTACTGAAGGCACTGGCTGATGTCATTGTCCAGCCACTGGCAAGACTATTTGAGCACTCGTGGCACACGGGCCAGGTCCCAGAGGAATGGAAAAGGGCCAGTGTGGTCCCTATTTTCAAGAAGGGGAGAAAGGAGGATCCAGGCAATTATAGGCCAGTCAGTCTCACCTCCATCCTTGGCAAAGTCTTTGAAAAGATTATTAAGGCTCATATATGTGAGAGCCCAGCAGAAAAAATTATGCTGAGGCGAAACCAGCATGGGTTCGTAGTGGGTAGATCGTGCTTGACTAATCTAGTCTCTTTTTATGACCAGGTTACAAAACACCTGGACGCAGGAGTAGGGGTTGATGTCGTTTACTTAGACTTCAGGAAGGCCTTCGATACAGTATCCCACCCCATACTGGTGAACAAGTTAAGAGGCTGTGACTTGGATGATTACACAGTCCGGCGGGTGGCAAATTGGCTAGAGGGTCGTACCCAGAGAGTGATAGTGGATGGGTCGGTATCAACCTGGAAGGACATGGGCAGTGGGGTCCTGTAGGGCTTGGTCCTTGGACCAATACTCTTCAATGTCTTCATCAGTGACTTGGACGAGGGAGTGAAGTACTCTGTCCAATTCTGCGGATGATACAAAACTATGGGGAGAAGCGGACACACCTGAGGGCAGGGAACAACTACAGGCAGACCTGGAGAGGTTGGACAAATGGGCAGAAAACAATAGAATGCAATTTAACAAGGAGAAATGCAAAGTGCTGCACCTAGGGAGGAAAAATCTCCAGCACACCTACTGCCTAGGAAATTACCTGCTCGGTAGCATGGAATTGGAAAGGGATCTTGGAGTCCTAGTGGGCTCCAAGATGAACACGAGTCGTCAGTGTGACGAAGTCATCAGAAAAGCTAATGGCACTTTATCGTGCATCAGCAGATGCATGACAAACAGAACCAAGGAGGTGATACTTCCCCTCTATCGGGCGCTGGTCAGACTGCAGTTGGAATACTGCGTGCAGTTTTGGGCACCACACTTCAAGAGGGATGTGGATAACCTGGAGAGAGTCCAGAGAAGGGCCACACGTATGGTTAAGGGCTTGCATGCCAAGCCCTACAAGGACAGTCTAGGGCACCTGGACCTCTTCAGCCTCCGCAAGAGAAAGTTGAGAGGCAACCTTGTGGCTGCCCATAAATTCATCATGGGAGCGCAGAAGGGAATTGGTGAGGCTCTACTCACCAAGGCACCCCTGGGGGGGTCACAAGAAATAATGGCCATAAGCTAGCAGAGAGCAGATTTCCTCTTTCCTGCCTATGCAGGGGGTCGGACTCGATGATCTATTGAGGTCCCTTCTGACCCTAACATCTATGAATCTATGAACCTATGAATCAGTGTGTTAGGTGGATTAGTTAGTACTCATTTACATATTCTAAAATTTAAGTTCTTATTTTTTGAATTTAACTAGACTTCAGTGCATACAGTGAAGTCTCGCATCATGGCTAAATGATCTACTAGCAGGATTTCCTCATAAAGTTCTTTAAACCAACATTTAAAAGGACAATGAAAATTTCTTCTGGGAGTTTTCCATACAAGAGCTTCCTCTACATTCCTAAATAAAAGGATAAAATAACAATTTTTATGGAAAATAAAGTTACTTTAAAAATCCTACACGCTGTTGTCAATCCAAAAAATAATTAAGCCCTATGGTGCCAGCCAAGCATACATGACAGTGTTATTGGGACCCAGAGGCCTTCAAGGCCTGCATTTGACCTTTGTGATTAGCTCAAGCTTCATGCTTAGCTTGAACTGTGGTTGAGACATGCATCCAGTGATAGGAGCAGGTGAAAGGAGCAGATGGAAAAATACTGTCCCTGACTTGACATGAATGGGGAAGATGGCTAACTAAACTGAATGAATAATGTTTGAGCAAAGAGGAACAGTCAGAGCAAAACCTGCCCCTACCTAAGAATGAAAAGATTATCTCAGAATATAACATTTCAGTTGAAGGTAACCATATTTGGCAAACAGAAGCAAGATTATTAATATGCATTAGGAGGAAGGCTTAAGCTAATTTTATGCATTAAGAAATGCAAGCTATAGGGTATAAAAGAAAGCCTGAAGAGATACTGTCACCAATTCAAGATCCTGTCTCAACAGCAAACATGGGAACCAGGAGCTTCAGAGATCAACCAGTGAAGTTGCATTCACAACATTATGGGGTGGTAAGCATCTGCTCTGACTAGCTACAACCTAAAAATTTTAACTGCTAATGCAGCTTCAGTTCTAATTAGGCTTGTATCTGTTAGGGTTCAATAAACTTGCCTGTAGTTTAAGATAACTGTCTTGGTCTCCTTGCCTGGTATAAGATCCATTGTAGCATCAGAGGGACGCAACAGTATGCAACAATGAAACTTTCCCACTATTTAGTTTATTTTAACCTTTCTGTTGGCCGCATGTGCCAATTATTTATTATGGTTGCCATTTTCTCCTGAAGAGATCTATTTTCCTCTGTCAGTGATGTTTCTGCTAAGGTGACAGGGCAACATTCTCCATGAACCTCCTATTAGGAAGTGCACTGCTACATTATGGTCCTTGCCAACAGACTAGCGCTGGCAGGGACATGAGAAATGTGTTTGCAATATGGTTAGTTATACATATCTGCAGCAATGAACCACAGGGTAAAACTAGCCCATGTGTGTCGTCGTTAGTGTGTTAAATTTAAAATCACTTTCCTAGATGGAGATATGATGCTAGGACAGTTCCTTGATGTGAAATTACAGTTTACTCCTGAGCATCTCATCAGCAACTTCATATTTATCAGAACAATACTACTTTTTGAAGGTTATAATACTTCTGTACTACCAAAGAGTAATGGTAGCCCCCCTGAAGATATACATTAGATACATTTGGCCATTTATCATGTTCAGGGCTCCTTGGGGATCATGAGTTTGCAGGTAGAGTGTTCAGTCTCCTTCATAAGGGAACAAATTCTATGAAGGGATCTGGATACTCAAGTACTAACCATAAGAAAATAACATATTAATTGCTGTGATATTTCAAGGTGTCCTGTCCTATTGTGACATTAACTCATTATATAATAGCAATATGCCACCATGTCATGCTGCAGGAACAGCAGATGGTGGGAAAAAATCCACATGATCATGCTGGGTTTTAAAAAGGGATTTTTTTTTGGAACCTAAGAAAAATAAAGGACATTACTATGAGATTAGTGAAGGCTATAATTTACTCAATTGGTACATGAGTCGTAAGTTGTATATATTCAAAAGTAGCAGCTAAGTTCTTTTCAGATCATATGGAAAACCCTGTACTTGGCCCACAGTCATTTCTGATACAGTAAACGTCAGAAATTTGTTACTATTAAAAAAAAACTTTCTAGGCCAAATTCATATTCTTCTCACACAGCCACAGCAAGAATCCAAGGAAAAAGAATCACTCCCAACCTGATTAGAAATAATGAAATAACAATTAGCCATTAAACTGCTGCCAGTGAAGCCTCTAGCAGTCTTTGGCAAGATGGTGTGTTTTCAGCAACTACAGCAGGTCTCAAGCCTTGGATTACAATTCTAAGATGCATATGTAATAAAAAGAATCTTTGTAGCCTCACAGTAATGTATTCATGTGGCTTGCACAAAGTTCATTATAAATGAGGCCTGGCCGCAACAACAACCACAGCAGCCACCGCCATGGCACTTGTCAAGCTTGTCCTGCCATGGTAGCCACCAGGCTCCCCCTGTGGAGTGTTGGACACCCTCATATCTCATTGAAGTGAATGAGATTTGCAGGCTGCTCACTTGCACACAGAGGCTTTCAGCACATTATAGGATACAACATTAGAGAATCAACTGAAAGCAATGTTAGCTCCCTAAATGGGCCTTGTACTTTTTACTTTCATATAACATGAAAATATCAACAATCTTTTTTAAAAGGATCTGTTTTACATATTTGTTGTTTCTTTGAAAGTTGGAGCTGACTGTGAGCAAAAAGCAGCACATCACATCTTTATATATATCTAACATTAAATAACTGATAATGTTGGTATGAATTTGTAAGCTAAAATGCTATGGCTGGCCAAATGGCTCAGTGGAATAATATTTCTCAAATGCTTACTCAAAATCCAGAGAGAAGACAACATCACTAATATGGACTATTTAATCGTCCAAATAGATTTAGGTTTTGGTTTCCACAACCCTAATAAATATGTTTTGAAAATCCTAAATTACAGAAGAAATGCTAATCTGATTGGAGACCATAACAATTCATTTTCACCTTGCTTTCTCATGTGCACAAATATTATACTTAGTCAAAGAACCTGACTGTTGCATTTTCAAATTCCAGGGGGTAATGCAAGATAAAAATGTAAAAGGCACAAAATATCATGGGGTACCATATCATAATATTACATTCACAAAGTACAGTTTTCCAAGATCTAAAAATAAATCTATAGGTCACTTTTGGATGTTGTGATATGCATTTTAAAAGGCTAACTTTAACCAGGTTAATAAACCAGCTCACATTTGCATGGAATACCCATACCTTACATGTACATGGTAATATCGTCCAGCCACAATGGTTTGATACAAACAAGAAGAACTACATTCTCTACTCTAAACTTAGGCTGAAAGCATGCTTGGGTTGTAAACTTTAGTGACAAATCTTTCTGGACAACTGACTTCAATGAAAGCTGTACCCGATTGGATTATTGGGCCCCTTATGACTCAAGTCCCACAAGCCTCTCTCCAAAAGGGAGCCAATCCAGCATCTTAATAAACATAAGAAACAGTAAAGCAATAAAAACTTGAACTTACGGACACACATTTCCCTGCTTTCATAAAACCCAGGACAGCACTGGGATTTCCGCCTGTACATAGTTTTTTCTCCATGTCTGTAGGCAGTGCGATAACTGATTCTGATGAAAGAAAAAAGGAATGTTACATATATAATTTCTCAGAAGTAAAACAATTTCTATTTTAAGATATTTCAGAAAATCTTGGGAGGATACATAGAAAAGACTGGGGAGTGGGGAGCAGAGACCTGGCTTTATTGGTTAATAAAGTTTAATCTTGTGATCCCTTCACAAAATCTGCCTATAATTCATTAAAAACCATATTTTTCAGGAGTGGTGAAAAACCAGTCACAAAGGTTAAGTTTTCTGGCTACTTATCTAGGACAGTGACATAACATGGGAGGGAGGGGGTGGAAAAAAAAAGCAGCTGCTGCCAGCACCTGTACAATCATGATCATGCGGTAACCAGAAATTGCTACTGCCCCTGTGCCCTGGGCACCTGGATGCATCCCTACACTACTGTCCAGGGCTATAACGATCTTAGTCATTCCTCGAATGCCCCCAAAAATGTGGCATTTTCAGGAGTAAAATCAAGAAACAACACAAATTGGCCACTTAGATTGGCCTATTATCGGGACAAGTTTCCAAACGCAACGAAATTACCCTGCAAAGGGCTCAAAGAGCTAAAGGCCCAGAGAAGGATCAAGTTGAAGAGAGAGGAACTCTGTGGGTTCAAATCTTACAAAGTGCTGACTTCAGCAGATGTTAACAATGATCACCATCTCAGAGAAGTTGCACCTTATGTGAGCAGCATGGAGGAAAAGCAACTGTATCTGTCACATGATAATGGTACAGCATCACTGAGACTTACATTTTTCTAACATTAAACAAGCAATTTCACCAGAATAGGGGAAACATTTATCCTAAAGCTATTTCCTCTTTCCACTTCACTTATGGAGCTTCAGCCTGGAAAATTTGCCAACTCGCTCCTACTGGCTGCTGTAAGTAAACAGCATACAATCCTTTCATCAACGAAATACAAATTAAAAGAACAGCACATTTCTAAATGTAGTATAGGCAAATAGGTGCATGTTGCCAGTACATCAAGCCTATAAAGTTATCAACATTAAACTGTTCCATGCTACAGAGTGCTCCTAGAAGCAGGTATCACCTCCAGCCCTGACAGGCACACTTCCATGCACAGAAGGGAAGAGCACTTTCCAGCTGCCTACAGCAGTTTTAAGTCATTCATTCCTTGCTTCCTTGGTTAAAATATCCCAGAAGGATATTTCCTGGGGAGAAACTTTTTTTCTGAAAGTAATGCTCACTTTCCCCACAGAGTGCACAAAATATGATAATCAAGCCATGTTTCATTATTTCTCCATCTAAGTACCTTTTACAGGAGTCAAGGTGTTTCATTTTTGGAGTAGAAAACACTCTTTTCTAACTTGCTTACCTCTTCTAGACACGTTTGCTGGCATGATATGCCCTATGATATTGCCAGACCTTTATGCTATCACTTTGCTAGTTCACAGGTGGCCACCCATGGCACATGTGGCACAAGTGGCAGGCATCGGTAGTTCCTGAGTGTAGTATACAAACCCCAGGGTACTGATCTAAGGAAGGCACTGGAATGGAAGCACGGATAGAGCATTCTTTGGAGCAGGATGCTGTGGCAAAAGGAGATTCCAGATGTCATCAACCAAGCTAAACCTTCTCTGGCCCTGTAGCTGATGCTGGGTTCAAAGCTTTGGCTCCTCACTGGCCATATAAAACTGCTCCAGCTGCAGAACCAGGGAAGAGATAACATAGCTCTTAATGGTAACACTTTCTGTTGTAGCAGTATCCTACTTCTGCTCTGCTCCATGTGGCTGTGGTCAGAGGCTGGAGGCGACCTGCCTCAATTCCATTGCCCCATGCACAATCTGGTACACCTCTAGAGGAGAGGAAGAGGGCAGAGGGAGATCAGACTGGCACTCAGGGAGGGACAAGAGGGGGTTCAGCTTGTGTGGACAAAACAGTTGGCCACAACTGTGTAAGTCAAATACATTTTTAACTTCACCTGAAGTGCAAATGGTAGGGAGTGTAGTCACCTTAGTTGATACATCCTGTATACTACATTCAATACAAAATATACATCTTCCAGTAACTGAACAATCTGAAAGCAATGATACTGTACATTACCTGTGCCGTGTGCATTTAAACCAGTTCAGTATGTCAGTACAGCTGGTGTAGTAAATTTGATCAAAAGGATGTGGATATGATTCTTGAACGGTAACTGAATAACTGGAGAGAAAGAAAACAACATTATTAAGCAAGTATATTCTGATTAGTGTGAATATTTTCACAAAAGGCTAACTGACCCTGAAAGACAGCTCTAGCTAAAAGTGATAAATAAACACAAGTAGGTACCTGTAGCGACCATCAAACAACACACAGAACCATTTATATTAATATTAAATTTACCAAGATAAGTTTTCCTTTTAATCCAAATTTTGCTTTCTAAGATGCACAACCTGAAAACTGCACCATCTCTATGTCTCCCAAGAGTAGAGATATAAAATCAATGTCAGCTGTATGCTATCATCTAATACCTGCCTCTTTCTACAGAGAGTGACTGTGATCTCAGTTCATGGGAGTGGCCCCAAGAAACTTTGATACATTCAGTACTTCACCTAGCATCTACCATGAATAGATAAAAAATGGAATGGTGACTTCATTTCTTGTTGCCTAATAAGCAGGAAAGACAATTCTGAATCAGACTTCCCCACACTTAAGGTGCTCTTGATGCAAGATGACTTTTGAGTCCTTCTAGGTTTTTGTATCTATTCTGCAAATGAAGTTTTAGATCCCAAGAAGTGCTAAGCACTCTCAACTTCCATGGACTTCAGTGAAAATTAAGGGAATTCAGTAATTTGGAGGACTGGGCCCTCCAGCCTTAATTTGCTCCTACATAAATATATTAAAATATTAATAATTGCCACCCTAACTGAAAAACATCACCATATATCACTTGGCTTCTCCATGGTAATATTATCATGCAAGCTTCTTACAGATTCAGATCACATAGATTTTTGCTTTAAAAAAGCAAAACACCAGCCTTTCATTTTATGCCTTATTTGTAAAACTTGAGAGAGACGTCATATTTCTTTTTTTACAATGACTGTTCTTAAAATAAATTACCTCTGTCAAAGAGTTAGTCAGTAGAATTCTGATTTATTGAAGACTAATAGTTCAAAGTCAAGGGCTCTGAATTTAATAATTTAGAAGTTTCCAGAAAATAATTGAGTTCTGTTACTTTTTGAATTGTTGCTGATTGTAAGAAAAGTTTAACAAGAGACTTTACAGTTCAATAGACTGACATCTGTGGAAAGACACAGTATGTTAATCTTCTTATTTCTGACCTTAGCATTGTCCATCCTTTTAAGAAATGGAAAACAGCATATCATTGTCAATTAGATGTTAACAATCTAGTGAATACTATATTGCATAGATATTAACAGACATCAGACAAAAAAGTTTTCTGTTTACTATTTAAATTGCTGAAATTTACACATTCAAAACAGAAGGCATGGACACAGTACATTAATGGACTTATCCAGTAACTATGATCAGGAAGTATTTCAATATAAAAGTCCAAAAAAAATGCCAAATACTGTATGTATAACCGAAGTTCAAAAGGAAGTTCAACTTTAACTAAAAAGTAAATCAAGCATTTCTAAAGAACACAAACAGAGGCATAAACTGAAAGATCATGGACCTCGCTAAGAAAGAAAAATGTACAGTATGTGGACAATGACAGGTCTACTGGGTAATGTATCTGATCAAACAGCATTAGTAACAGATTGTTTGAAGAACAAGTAATGCAAAGCTGAAAAATCCACTGTCTCAAGTGTGAACCAAACTGGAAAAGTCAGTCAAGGAGACTGAGATTTGTAATACATTTTCCAGTGGATTTATAAAGAGAATAAACTTTTAAGTAACCTTAGTGAGCAGCTGGGACCCAGGCTAGATGCCACACAATAAGGTTACTTGCTCTACCAGAGGAAGCAGAGACTAAAAACCTGCTGGGACTTCTAGAGAAAGTGGAAAGTTTAGAAGTAGAAAAGATAAAAAGACAATCTAAAAATACTTATGAACTCAAGAGATTAAGGTACCTGTTCTCTTAGAATGGTGTTTAATAACAATTACTAACAACATTTGGAACAAATATGTGATTAACAGATATAGGATAGACAAGATTCTTAGTCAGGTTTAGAAACTGTACAAGTAAAAAAGAAACAATTATTTTTCTTGGTT